CCTTTGGCTCAGGTCATGATCCCAGAGTCCTGGGATCGAGCCCGGCATCAGGTTCCCTGCTCAGTGGAGAGCCTGCTTCTCCCTCTCCCTCTGCCGTTCCCCCTGCTTGTGCTCTCTCTCTCTCAAATGAGTAAATAAAATCTTAAGGAAAAAAAAAAAATCTTGTCCCATTACTGATAGAAATCCATAAAAATTCGTCAACTCTAAACTATGTTATAATGGGCTGTTCCTGGGACAGGACATGGGTAGAAATGTGTTTTGTATTATCCTTTATATCTTCTTGCATGCCAGAAATATTACATAATATTTTTAAGTCAAAGTCAAAAGAAGAAATGATACATTATCCAGTTATGATTATGCATACATATGAATGTCTTATTAATGCAGACCAGTATTTTAAGTATTTACTCCTTAAGAAAACAATATAGTATCAGAAGGATCCACAACAAATTCATGTGCCACTCAATCATCACCCTCAAGATTCCAACAAAAAATAAAATGTTAGAATAAACAAATTCGGCAAAGTTGCAGGATACAAAACAAACACAGAAAAACCAGTCACATTTCTATATGCTAACGATGAACAATCTGGGAAAAGGAAATTAAGAAAATAATTACATGTATAATAGCACCAAAAAAGGGGCGCCTGGGTGGCTCAGCCATTAAGCGTCTGCCTTCGGCTCAGGTCATGATCCCAGGGTCCTGGGATTGAGCCTCACATCGGGCTCCCTGCACAGCAGGCAGCCTGCTTCTCCCTCTCACACTAGCCCTGCTTGTATGTTCCCTCTCTCGCTCTCTGTTAAATAAATAAATAAAATCTTAAAAAAAAAAGGCGCCTAAAAGAATGAAATACCTAGTAATAAGTAGGCAAAAGATGTGTACATTGAAAACTATAAAACAGGGGCGCCTGGGTGGCTCAGTCATTAAGCGTCTGCCTTCAGCTCAGGTCATGATCCCAGGGTCCTGGGTTCGAGCCCCACATCAGGCTTCCTGCTCAGCGGGAAAGCCTGCTTCTCCCTCTCCCACTCCCCTGCTTGTGTTCCCTCTCTCGCTGTGTCTCTGTCAAATAAATAAAATCTTTAAAAAAAAAAAAAAAAAACTACAAAACACTGCTAAAGGAAATTAAAGAAGTCACAAATAAATGGATATTCTGTGTTCATGAATCAAAAGACTTAGTACTGTCAAGATTACCTAGAGCGATCTACAGATTCAACGCAACCCCTATGAAAAACTTGATGTATTTTATAGAAATAAAAAAATCCACCCTAAGATTCCCATGGTATCTCAAGAAACCCTGAATGGCTACAACAATCTTGAAAAAGAACGAAACTGGAGAATGCATGCTTTCAAAACCTACTACAAAGGTATGAGAATTAAAACAGTGAGACAATGACATAAAGAGACATACAGAACAAGGGACCAGAATGGAGGGCCCAGAATTAAACACTCACATAAACAGTCAAATGATTTGTGACAAGTGTGCCAAGACTATTCAATTAGGAAAGAACAATCTTTTCAAACAAATGGTGCTGAGAAAACTGGATATCAATGCAAAATGTGGAAAAGAATAAAACTGGACCCGTATCTTATATTACATAGAAAAATTAACTCCAAATGGATCATAGACCTCAACTTCTTAAGAGCTGAAACTAAAAACTTTAGAAGAAAACATAGGAGAAAAGCTCCCTATCAGATTTGGCAATGATTTCTTAGGACACCAAAAGCACAGGCAACAAAGGAAAAGAAAACATAAAATGGACTTCATCGAAATTAAAAACTTCTGTGCATCAAAATCAAGCAAGTGAAAAGGTAACATGAAGATAGTACAGAATATTTGCAAACAATATATCTGATCAGGTATGCAGAATTTATAAAGAATGCCTACAACTCAACAATAAAAAAAAACCAACCCAATTCAAAAATGGGCAAAAAAACGGTATTTCTCCAAAGATACAGAGATAGCCAATAAGCCATGAAAAAATGTTCAACATTACAAATCATTAAAGGAAATGTAAATCAACACTACAAAGAGCTACTACTTTACACTTATTAGAAGTCAGCTATTATTCAAAAAAAAAAGTTGGTGAGAATGTGGAGAAATCAGAACCCGTGTGCACTGCTGATGGAAATGTACAATAGTGTAGCAACTATGGAAAACAGTATAGTAGTTAAACATAAAATTGCCAAATGAAAATTGGTAAACATCTGGGGTGTCTGGGTGGCTCAGTCAGTTAAGCATCCAACTCTTGATTTCGGCTAAGGTCATGATCTCAGGGTCACGAGATCAAGCCCTGCATGGGGCTCTACAATGGGTGTGGAGCCTGCTTAAGATTCTCTCTCCCTCTCCCTCTGCTCCTCCACTCTCCACACTGCCCCTCATACCCCACCGGCTTGGGTGTGTCTGTCTCTCTTAAAAACAAACACTCTCTTTTTTAATTTTTTTTTAAAGATTTTATTTATTTGACAGCAAGAGACACAGCGAGAGAGGGAACACAAGCAGGGGGAGTGGGAGGAGGAGAAGCAGGCTTCCCACTGAGCAGGGAGCCGGATGCGGGGCTCGATCCCAGGACCTTGGGACCTTGAGGCAGCCGCTTAACCGACTGAGACACCAAGGCGCCCCCACTCTCTTCTTAAAAAGTGGTAAAAATTTAACAAAAAATTTAAATATAAAATACCATAGGATCCAACAATTCCACTTATGGGTATATACCCAAAGTATTGAGAACAAAACCTCAAAGAGATTATTTGTACACCAATGTTCATAGCAGCATTATTCCACAATAGCCAAAAAGGGGTAACAACTCAAATGTCCATCAACATTTGGATGGATAAACAAAATGTCGTTGTTATATATTTAATGAAATACTATTTAGCTTTAAAAAGGAATGAGATTCTGATACATGCTACAACATGGATGAACCTTGAAAACATTGTAAGTGAACTTTGTCAGACACAAAAGGGCAAATATTACATGATTCCACTTAAAGGTATCTACAATAGTCAAAATCATGGACAAATTAGAATGGTTGCCAGCAGTTAGGGGGAGGGAAAAATGGGGAGTGTTTAATGGATACAGTTTCAGTTTGCAAAGATGAAAAAATTCTGGAGGTGGATAGTGGTGATGGCTGCCTGACAATGTGAATGTACTTAATCCCTCTATACTGCACATTTAAAAATTATTAAAATGGTAAATTCTGTTTTGTGCATTTTGCCACAATTAAAAAAAAAAGGTTAAAAAGGAATAAAAATAGAATTTTTTATTGGCCAAATGCAGAACTATGGTATGGTGGTAGCAATAAGAAACTTAAAACACAAAAGTAGTTGAAAATTACATAGTAAAAAAGAATGTATGGGCTGAACAATACCAGGAAGAGAATACAGGGCCATTCCACTGGGGGAGGAGGGGTTAGATTGAGAATCAAGAAAAGAGAGGAAGGGAAGCTGGTGAGATGACTGACCCTAAACAGTCTCACAGCCCCAGATGGATCTGCTTTGTACGTTACAAATAGAGTAAACCTTCATTGAACACTTGCTATTTGTCAGTCACTGTTCTAAGCACTTTATATGCATTACCTTGTGTTTTAACAAAATTGGCCTTGGTGACTCTGCCTCCAACTAAATTTCTGCTCCTCTTAATTACATGAAAAGGTTAACTTGATATTCAAATAATATAAATAGTTCTGGCTATGGCTTGGATTTCTGAAACCAACTGTTTTTAGACATTTAAGAAGGGGGGTTTTTTAGTTATATGGTTAAATTCATTTCCCCTCAATAGCATCTCTCCAATATCTTAACACATGCATACATAAATGCATAAAAACTGCATTTAAATACTCTGAGAATGAGTAGATAATCATACTCTTTAACCATTGGTTGTCCAGCCTTATAGTGTGTGTTTTACTTTCTAGTCCTTCTCCCATCCCCAACTCCCATCTCTACTGCAAAATATAATTTTATTGGTTTTTTTGGATTATAAAAAAAGATGTATGCTAGCATTTAAAAATATATACAAAATGTAAAAACACCTAAAAGTCACCTCAAATGGCTATTTATTTGCATTAACAATCATAGTATGAATTATTCACAGATGGCACAAATTAAGCAATATAAATGATATACTAACATTTCAACCTAAATTTTTTTTGCTAACTGGAAATACTTTACAATTTTTAGTATTAAATATTCTTCAGTCCTAATATTGAAATGTAAATAAGCTAACAACTGATTCTTACCAACTTCATGAATAGTTTTAGTTGTAGTTTTTAGTAGTATCTGCATGCATCAATTTTTAAACTTTACACTTAAAATTATCATCCAGGGGTGCCTGAATGGCTCAGTCAGTTAAGTGTCCAACTCTTAATTTTGGCTTGGGTCATGATCTCAGGGTGGTGAGATCAAGCCCTGCGTCGGGCTCCACACTGGGCAGGAAGCCTGCTTAAGATTCTCTCTCCCTCTCCTTCTGCCCCTCCCCCACTTAAAAAAATTATCATCCATAACTATGGATGTTTGCAAAATGTCTTCTATCAAGGCTAATTTATTGCCTTTCAATAGTCAAAGTGCTTTCAGGAATGTGGAAAAGTACAATTCAGATTTCATTCCTTTTGTTAATGTAAAATTATTAACAACTATAAGACTCTTTCATATAGGCAAGTCAGCCCTATATAGAGCAGAACAAACAGCCATGAAAGCCATGCAAACAATCTAACCTGGAAATTTCTATAAGAAATCTATCAGTGCTGAAAATGTCTCCCATCAGAATCATCCCTTTAGGTTACTACATTATTTTCACAGTACATTTGTTAAAATGTAAATGTTCACTAGGAAGGAATAATTACTATATATATAAAAAAGAAACAGTTCATAACTTTTTTAAATTTGAGCATAGTTCCCTCAGTAAAAATTAACTGGTAGTTAAGTCCACTCTTTCAAGGAAAATAGGTAATATAAAGATCAAGTACTAAAGGGCTTATATATTCAAAGTAATGACACTTATGACTTACCTCTAAAATCTGACTAGCTCTAGGTAGTGGGTGCCCATCAGCCTGGACCATTGTTATCTGAATGGGAGACTGTGAGAGAATGCTGGAAGAGCTAGCACAAGTCTAAAAACAAAGAGAAAACACGGGTACTTTTTCTCTGTATAATATTAAACACAGGCAAAATTTAAAGGTCACTAAAACACTACCTAAGGGACACCTGGTGTGTACTTATGCTTGATAAGTAATCACTTATGTCCGATATAACCTTGTGGCAGATACCACAATGTCAGTGGTAGAGTTTCGTGGTCATCTAAAAAATTGCAGAGCTCTTTTACAAGAGCCTAAACGAGGTGCCTCAGGCCTCTACGCTCACGTACATAGTAAGATAATTTACAGAATGCCAAAGAGAGACCAGATGAGGTCATAATTAAATTCAAAATAACATTGTTTTACAGTAACATATGAAAAATAATTTTTAAAAAGCTTTATGATATGAACACGGCTTAGCATTTTAAAAAGTAAAATTAAGATGTCTTATATTCCAGGGGCGCCTGGTTGGCTCAGATGGCTAGGCATCTGCCTTCGGCTCAGGTCATGATCCCAGGGTCCTGGGATCGAGCCCCACGTCTGGCTCCTGGCTCAGCAGGGAGCCTGCTTCTCCCTCTCCCTCTGCCTCTCCCCCTGCTCATGCTCTCTATCTCTGTGTCTTGAATAAATAAATAAAATCTTTAAAAAAAAAAAAGATGTCTTATATTCCATAAATGCTTCATTTTGATACTCTTACCTTAGATTGGTCAAGAATTTGAAATTTTTCCCATACTATTTTATCACTTTCAAATTTTTTCCACAGATCGTTCCGTTTTTCAGAAGCTTCTTTTTCTTTCTTCTTTAAAGCAACCTGTTCATCTACAAATAATGTCCTTTTTAAAAATATGTACAAAAACTGTAAAAAAAAATCATGTAAACAAATCATGACCTTAAAGAGTGCAGACTCCAACGTAGATCTAATCAAAATTGTTTTTTAGGGAGATTAACTCACAAGACAGAGAAGAATTTTAAGAGATAAGGAATAAAACATTTAACCAGAACCAAACTTAAGTATGGCACAAATGGATATAAAATGTTTATTATAATTAGCAATAAAAATCAAATTTTTCAGAACAACATATTTTATATTATGCAAATTATTATGAGGTTCTACTGTCCTGTAATGTTTATTCAGTTATAATAAGAAACTGAAAAGATGGGGCGCCTGGGTGGCTCAGTCGTTAAGCGTCTGCCTTCGGCTCAGGTCATGATCCCGGGGTCCTGGGATCGAGCCCCGCATCGGGCTCCCTGCTTCCCCCTCTCCCACTCCCCCTGCTTGTGTTCCCTCTCTCGCTGTGTCTCTCTCTGTCAAATAAATAAAATCTTTAAAAAAAAAAAAAAAAAGAAACTGAAAAGATAAACCTCTGGATTCAGAGAACCCTAGAATCAAATACAAGTTCAACCACTTCCTATCTATGTAACTGTGGGCAAATTGCTGTTCACCTTCCTAAAACTCAGTTTCTTCTTCTGTAAAATAAGAATAGTGTCTATTTCAGTACAAGGCCTAGCACAAAGTAGATATGTAATAAATGTCAGCCACTATTATTCATAACTGCTGAAGAGTAAAAAAACAAAAATCTTGTGTCTAACAAACTGATATAAAAACTAGGCCCCCAATCATCAACAGTTCTTAAAAATTTAGAGATGTATAAACTTAAATTTCAAGAATATTAATGAAAGCATGACTTCAACAAAGAGAGATGTGCTTTTCTTTTAACGGGATCAAATAAAAGAAAGCAAACTTTTTAGATAATACAGCATAAAACACTTCAGTCATTTCCAAGTAGTTCCAACCAACTTCAGAAGTTTCGTATTACAGTTTGATAAGGAAAATTTGAATTGAAAGAAAATATTTAAAACTGAAAAGTATGATATACACACATCAAATCTCCAAACCTTCAGATATTGCTACCATACATTTAATTTCTTCAAACTTTTGTTACCTTTACTTCCAACATCTATTCATTCCCAATTTCTTCTGCTTATCTCTTTTTTTTCTATCACCTGTTTCAGCAGCGTTATGACTGCCTCAGAGGACTTCCTAGTTGAGTGGAGGGTGAAGCCCATCTTTATGCTTCTAGTACAGTTATTCTTTTTTTTTTTTTAAAGATTTTATTTATTTATTTGACAGAGAGATTGACAGCGAGAGAGGGAACACAAGCAGGGGGGAGTGGGAGAGGGAGAAGCAGGCTTTCCGCCGAGCAGGGAGCCCAACGTGGGGCTCGATTCCAGGACCCTGGGATCATGACCTGAGCCGAAGGCAGACGCTTAACGACTGAGCCACCCAGGCTATTCTTAAGTACAACTGCTACTTCACATATTTTCCAAATTCTGACACCTAGACCATTAGTCTAGTCCAAGAAGAAGAGTTTCTTAGTTACTATCAATATTTTAAGACCTTAACAGAAATGATAAATTTTTATTATAAGGTCTATAGGCTGATAAAAAGCAGTAAGTTTGTTTTAGTATGGAATATACTTACTGATACCATATTAATGATTCTTGATCAGAATGTTTTATTTTAAAGAATGAACTCTATTTTTAAATAAAACCATCTTTAAATCCATAGGATTTCTATAATGGAAAAATATGAAAATGAATTCTCAGGAAATGAGAAAAGTTTAGGAATCTTTGACCTCCAGAATGATACTGATGACATTAATGCTTATTGCTCACCTCTGGTCTTCCTGTACACACTAAGAGACTACCAGACAAAAAGACACAACCTAAAGGAATATAAAACCACAAAGCTTTCTACATATTGCAGCAAACTAGTCTAGATGACAAATGTTATAGGTGCCTCGTTAGCACAGTAGGTAGCGTGTCAGTCTCACAGATGACAAATTTATAAAACAAGATTTTTTATGGTATCATACTGAAAGATATAGTTCAACCTCAATATATATTCTTAAGGCAACAAAACTATAATAAAAGGTGTAATAATTACCTACCAAGCTCTTTCTTCCACTGGGCTTTTTTTGCTTCCAACAAACTTCTGTCACGTTCTCTTTCCCCCAGAGTACTGAATATGTCAGCTGGTTTCCATACATTCTCTCTAAAACAACACAAAAAATAACAGAAATCTTGTATGTTTCTATACAAGCTACTCCATGAATATTAAGTAATAAACGTAAATAGCTCTCAGTCTTCAGAGTAAATATTTCACATGAAAAGTCAAGGAAAAGCAAAACCATTTTCACAAGATGACTCCACAATAACAGATATGAGTTACATACATGGCAATTTTCTGCTCATACTGCTTAGATGTCTCTTGATTTTTATTTAAAACAGATTTATTTTCATCCAGGACAGATGAAAGAGCCTCAGTTTTTTGGAATACTCCCATAATGTTCTCATCCTCTGGCTGATTGGAAATACTGTTTAAACGTAGACTGCCCTGACCTAGGAGGTAAAAATGCGTGTTTTAAAATGAACACTAAAATTGCATGTATTACAATACCTTATTTTGGCATACTGCTACACACTTTAAAAACACTGCCTTACACATTACCAAAGTATTCACCTCTCACAACAGTCCTTCAGTGGGTATTATGATTCCCTTTTGTCAAAAAAGGAAACTGAGCCCAGAGGTTAAATGGTCCAGAGATACGGCCATTGCTATGTAACCTCTTGTGTCTAATATGAAAACAAACAACAACAAAAAAACTTCCATTTACTCTTGCTAACAGTATTTTTACAAATAATATAAAACACCAATCACAACTTAAAGAATGCAAATAGGTTTATGAAAAACTCATTACCTTGTCCTTATTTTTCTCATTTAGCTGGAAAATCAATGAAAACTTATCATGGACCACTGTCTCTACGCCTCCGTTGTATCTATTCCAAATGTTTTATACAGGCTCCTATGCTTGGCTCAGAAATTGTTCTAAGTCTTCTTAATGTGCTAGTTTTCCCAATGAGGAGAAAGTGTATTTAATATGCAGGTCATTATATGATCAGACAAATTCTGCCTTCAACTTTGTTGATATTGATATTCTCTCTCATTATACGTAGTAAGTTTTTATTTTTTGTTCTCTAGGCTACAATTCTAGCTTTAAAGACCTAGCTCCCTCATTTTACAAAGAATAATCTAGACCAAGACAAGATAAATTACTCCAACTTGAAGACTTTGGGAATGTATAGAAGCTACCTGGTCCCCAAATCAGTTGTGGGGCCTCTTCCTGGTGACTGTTAATGTTATTTTTATTTATTTCGTTATAGCCTAACAAAATTTTAATGACATTTCTACTCATTAATTCCTTAGCTCAAAGCTAAAGAAATCAGAAGACTTTTAAAAACATAATACAATGCCCTAATGAAACAGAAGACCTGTAACATTCTTCTACTCCTTCCAAGTCTGTATTGTTATTGTTAAAGATTTTATTTATTTGATAGAAAGAGAGAGAGAGCGCGAGAGAGGGAATACAAGCAGGAGGAGTGGGAGAGGGAGAAGCAGACCCCCCGCAGAGCAGAGAGCCCAATGCGGGGCTCGATCCCAGGACCCTGGGATCATGACTTGAGCCGAAGGCAGATGCTTGACAACTGAACCACCCAAGCACGCCCCAAGTCTGTATTTTATATTGGTTAAAAAGATAGTGCTGCCAATCCTTAGCATGGATTAAGGGTCAGGAAAAGTACAATGGAGGGGCCAGGAAAATAATCCTTTTCAGCAACTCAAGTCAAATATTCAAAGGTTCCTTCAATTTCACTAGAAATACTATAGTGATTTTTTACAACATTTTATATAATTATTTTTAATATAAGTAAAGCTTTCTACATTTTGGAATAAGTACATCTTTTTGTACTAAGATCTTTAGAGTCCACAGAACTGGGTTTCTTAAGGCTATGGTACCATGACTGTAATATTCTGAGCATTAACCTTAAAATACGGCATATTATAGCTTTTATTGAAAGTAATTTTGCACAAGAATGTTCTCTAAAAGAATATTTTAAAAGATTGTTACATGGTAAATTAGAATTTCAGAGGCACAGTTATGTAGAATGAAAAATTCTAAAACACATACTGGTAAAATTAGTATTAAAAATTAAAACTTCAGAAAAACCTTACTTGTTTCCTCCTTTCCATTTTCAATCAGGGAAATGGATTTATTTCCTTGGTTCACAGTCATCAAAATCTGTTGTAGTTGGTCTTGTGTTAGACACACCAAACTGCTCTTCATATTTTCAGCTGTGATGTGTTTTTTGCAAAGCTTCTGCTTAGCTACTACAGATGTATTTATGGTGTTTCTAGTCTTCTGTATATTGGGGGTTGCAGGTGAAATCTCTTTCTGGACATAAAGACAGTCTTTATCTACATACTGCTTGCATAAATCCTTAGTGGGAGAAAAAGTCATACTATTTTTTTCACCTTTTGCCAGTGAAGTTTCTGAACCCATTCTCTTCTTTTGCAAAAGTTTTCCACTCCTGATACAAGTATTTTGTGTTGATTTTAGAATGTATCCAGTTTGTTTTGTTCTTAAAGGACATTTTGCAATCTTGGTCTTATTTCCCATCTGTTAAAACACCAAAAATTTATTCTTTATAACAGCCCATGAAAAATCAACAATTATCTTTATATAATCTGTGATGTCAGGCCTCTAAATTTTTTTCCATTTTGCTGTTAAGACACTATATCCACGAGACACTAACATATAACCTTTGCAAATCTTCATTGAAAGCTTCAACAACTGGAAATTATTTTATTTCAACATAATCAATACAGAACTTTTATTTTAGTTGTTACAGGACATCTCCATTCTACTCCAGCTTTGAATCTGTCATGATTATATCACTCAGACCACCTCTTTTCTTTATAGGTATCTATAGACCTGTGAGTTAGTAATATAGATTAGTTATTTCTTGAATAACTTAACTTGTGGGTCAACATCCTTCTAACATAACTCCTATCTTTTTTTTTTTTTTTTTTTTGACAGAGAGAGAGACAGCGAGAGATGGAACACAAGCAGGGGCAGTGGGAGAGGGAGAAGCAGTCTTCCCGCAGAGCAGGGAGCCCGATGTAGGGCTCGATCCCAGGACCCTGAGATCATGACCTGAGCCGAAGGCAGTCGCTTAACCAACTGAGCCACCCAGGCACCCCACATAATCCTATCTTATTAAGTGCTTTCATATCCACATAGATCATTCTTCCAACTCCCTGGCCTCTCATTTCCTTGAACTCTGTTCCTATATTCTTGTCCTCCATGCTACCTCAGCTACTCATTCTCATAGTGATAGCTTATACTAACCTTGTAACTACTCCTAACTACAATCCCTCCATAATCTGTTTCAAGTATGGCACAATGACCAACACCCAATTTTCCCTAGCTCACTTCCTTGCATATCCCAATTCTGATAATTCTTTAACTCAGCTGGGATATAATCTATTTATCCTACCACCTTCCTCTTGTCCTCCTTTACCAATCTTAAATTCCATGATTAACCAAAAACCACCACCATCTTCTATTCTCAACTGCTCTGCTCTGACATATACGCTTTGCAAATCCCCAGACTGGTAAAATCTAACTCTTCACCTACTCCGTGCCTGCACTCAGGAAGAAAAACACAAAGCCACAATATCTAGTTTCACCTTAAATACATAACCCAAAACAAATGGGCCCTTCATGCTACTCAGCAGTTAGACATTTTGCAAATTCATTTACTCTCTCACTCTTTCAACAATTTCAACTTTCTCCTCTTTCCCAAAACGAACACTTTCTCTTTCATACTTATTGTCAGCTGAAGATCTTGATCACTATTGCATTGAAAATCTTACAGAGAAGCATTCAGAAAAAAACTTCCAAGTTTCTACCACTAAATCTGTACAAGCATCAGTACTCCTACAAACTGCTTACACTCCTGTTATTTGCAGATATCCCCATAACCCTTTCTTTCTCAGGGATCTCTGCCTAGCAATTCTTTGCTTTCTCCTGAATCAACTGTTTCTTTCCTGCTAGATCACATCTTTACCGTCTTTAAAAATACATGATCCCACTTTCTCATCTCCCACAATCCCATTCCAGCCAAGCTCTCACCCACACTCCACCAAAACTGCTCATCAAGGTCATTTTAATAACTTTTTACGAGGCATTCAGTGACTGATCCTTAGATCATCTTACCAGACTTATTAGCAGCATGTGACACAGTTGATTATTCCTCCCATTTTGAATCACTCTCTCTATTTCCTGAGGACTTCACAATTCTGGTTCTTGCTGTTCCTTTTCAGTCTTCACTGGCTCCCTTTCCCCCAGACCTCTTAAAGTTGCTTAGTCCCAGGATCTCTTAGCTCTAACTTAGCTCATTCACTTGCTAATTTCATCTACCCTTGTGGTTCTGAGTATTATCCATATGCTGACGACTCCCAAACTTGTCTCCAGGATGGACCTCTCCTCCCCTAACTTGAGGTTCCATTGGCCTATCCAAACACTTCCACTGTGTTATTAATAGCCATTTAAAACAGCATGCCCAAAACCAAACTCTTGATATCCCACATGCCCCTAAATAACCTCCTCCAGTTTTTCCCATCTCAGCTACCTATGACAAAAATTTTGGAATTATCGACTATTGTCCCATATGCCACACTTGTCATCAAACCTTGTTTTGCTCCATCTTCAAAATATATTCTAAATCTGACCACTCCTGAACAACTCTCTTACCATCCCTTTACTCCAAGACATTAGCTCTTGCCTGCATTACTGAAAAGCCTTCGGATTTCTTCCTTCTGCCCTTGCTCCCCAGTCTGTTCTCAACATAGCAGCCACAGTGAGTACCTTATAGATTAAGTCAGATCATGTCACTTTCTTCAAAAGCTTCTAATGGTTTCCTATCTTACTTAGGAGGAAAAACTGAACTTCATAATATGACCAAAAAAGACCTAATGATCTGTGCACTCTTCACACTTTATCCCCTTATCTGATCTCTCTGATCTCATTTTCTATCTTAGCCTCCAGTCACATGGGCTTCTTGGCTATTCCTAAACCTCCAGTTTTAGGCCTTAGCACTAGTCTATCCCTCTAACTGGGACATTCTTCCTTCAGATTCTACATGATGCACTCACCTCCTTCAAATCTTTGCTCCAACATCACTGACTCAGTAAGGTTTTCTCTGACCACCCTATTTAAAATTGTAGGTTTCCTGTTCCTTTTTTTGGGTGGGGGGAGGTTGTAGCAGGTTTCCTGTTCTACCCTCATACTCCCACCTACCTAGCACTCCCTTTTCCAAAGACTGCTGTGCCCCTGAAGTAACTGTGCCTCTTCCCTTTCTCTCCTTTATTTTTCTCTATAGCACTTTTCATCTTGTAACACCCTATATTTATTTTGCTAAATGTATGCCCGTTCAACCCCTTTTCCAATGTAAACTCCCTAGGGCAGAAATGTTTGTATACTTTGTCCAGTACAGAATAGTGAGTGGAACAGAGTAGGTGTTCAGTAAATTTTTTATTATCCTCAACTATACTATTTTAAAAACTGAATTATCTCTCTCTCCCATATTTGTTCCCCCTTCCAAAATATCCCATTTCTGTGGCACTGTTGTTCTAATCTCTCAGACCAGTAAGCATGGAGTCATCTTTAACTTTATCCTCCTTCACGGTCTTCTTTAGCTTATGCACAAGTATTGGTCATTTCTTCCTTCCAAATCTTTTTCTCACCATTTACATGATGATAAGCCTAAATTTAGGTTTTCATTACCACACTACTAGATTACTGCCTGCCTATCTCATATCTTTCCCCTATTTAATCCACTGTACATTTCAGCGAACCCAATTAAACTAATTCAATGGTTGTTCAATCAAAATTAACTGCTTTTTATGTGCTCACCAATATGGAAAAGTGCTAGTGGTAAAGATTAATAAGATACTTGCTGTCAAAGAGTGAGGTAGATACCACATGACTTTCACCCAGCTTATATCCCAACTCCCCTTGTCTTTCAGTAACTTACAAAATATATAACCATACTTTGACCAATACCAATCCTATTTCACCCTACTTTTCAAAATATACCTGTACTATCAGCCACAAGATCTGTTTATTATTCTCTTCATCTCATCTACATCTTATTTGTTCCTGGCTTTAGGCTTTTGATAATTCCAATACCACAATGTAAAATGCCTTTTTACCCATCCAACTTGTGGCGATTTTTAAAAAGTTTTTTAAAGATTTATTTTAGAGGGGGAAGGGAGGGACTGAGGGGGAGGGAGAAAAGGAGTCTCAAGCATACTCTGCAATGAGTGCAGAGCCTGATGTAGGGCTTGACCTCACAACCCTGAGGTCACAACCCGAGCCAAAATCAAGAGCGGGGGACGCTCAATGGACTGTGTGACCCAGGTGCCCCTGAGGCTATTTTAATGTAACTAATTCTCTAAGTGAGAGGTGGCAACCTCAAATACCTACTGTAAATTAGGCTTGGTAGGAACTGGGATGAGCTGAAGAGCATTTTTCTATCTAAAGGAGGCAGCCACCATTCAGAATCAGCCTACACCACCAAACAGGAATCTGAGTCTACTTGCTAGATTACCCAGTACTTCAAGAGAACCAAAAATGCCAGATTCTACATTAAATTTTCCTATTTTTAGATACTGACAGTTCACTCTAGTTTTTGAAAGCCAGTATGTGGATTAAGCAAATTATCAGGAGATGGCACGTAGCTTATACTGCTCAGCCGTACCACCTGTCTCTAACTACGATGTCACCTTTCTTTGACTCATACTGGCCTTTTTTGGGTCACTGATAGTTGAGCATTTCACATCTCTAATCAGTTGCTCAAACTGCTAAGTGCAGTGCATACCATTACGTATCTTGGAAGTCTTTCATTTCTGTCCCCTTTTTTCCATTTCACTAACCACCAAACATGTTCAGGAACTCCTGAGACTCTTCCTGAACTGTAACTGGCCCATAACCAGTCTCCCCATTATCATCTGTCCTTCACCCTACACACAAATCAAGGAAGTTCAAACTCTGTGAGTATACATTTAAACTCTAAGACTGTAACCCCCCCGCCCAAGCTTAATGTTCTACACTTCCCCAAGATACACACTATTCCCCAAATGCAAATTATGCTATTTTGGTGTTTTGCCCACTATTTTCTGAGCTTAGAATACACTCCCATACCTCCGTACCTATAAATAACTGCCTCATCTTTTAAATTCTAATTAAAATGTCACCTCCTTTTACAAAGCTTTCCCTGGTCTCCTCAAGCCACAAAGAGCTGCTCTTTGCAGTGTTCTCTGCCTTTTATAATCCTACCATGGCATACATTATAGTCTACTTGTATTGTATAGTGATTTACCTGACTGATATCATCACTTCCAGAAAACAAGGCCTAGGTTTTACTCATTTTTTTCCTCTGTCATAGAAGAAATACAGCCAAGAACGGCACCCCACTAAAATTTTACAGCTTTAATAAATCCTTGTTAAATAGAAACCTACTAATTGGAGCTCTAATTTAAGTAGAATTATCCTGCTACATTCCACTTACAAAAGAAAAAAATATACCAAAAAAATCTTCTAAAAATATTTAATAAGAAGGGGAGAGGGGACAATGCCCTGGCATGAGGTCCATATACATTCAGCTCAATTCTGATTACTTTTTTGGGGGCAGGGGGGGAGGGGCAGAAGGAGAGGGAGAATCTCAAGCAGGCTCCACACCCAGCTCGGAGCACAAAGCAGGGCTTGATCTCACAACCCTTAGATCATGACCTGAGCCAAAATCAAGGGTGGGATGCTTAATTGACTGAGCCACCCAGGTGGCCCCTGACTATTTTTTGTAGCTGAACAGCAGGAAAAAAACAATGAATGGGGCCAGCAAAAAATCATGAACTACCAAATAAATATTCAATTATATTCAGGTTACTTAATAATAAAAAGCAATCTAGCCCAAATAATTCCCCAGGTGTTTACTGGATCAGGTAAATTTTAATAGATCAAAGAGTCTTCATGTCATAAACATTTTTAAGTAGCAAGTTGCTCTTTTAACTAGTTTTAATTCTACCAATATTTTTCATAATATAAACAAAGTCCAATGCATTTGTTTAATATTGGCTGAGTTTATCAATTATTTGGGGCCAGGATCCCAAGGCTAGAATCAGAGAAAATAACATTTTAAATTATAAAATATGCTACCTAACACTAATATTGTATATACCCTTTAGTGTGTCACTACTCTGATTCTCACATGTAGAAATTCCTGTGAAAAATATTTTTTTAATGTTTTATATTTCAACTAACCTGTGAGACAATTTTAAGCATAAGAATTTGGAATTATAAATTATTCATGACACTGAATCCTTAATATTTCTCTCATTTCTCCTCCTTATAGGTAACCATCTTTACTTCATATTCCTTACCACAGATTTAAAAAAATACAGAAGGGATTTTGAAAAAATTAAGAGAGTACTCTGACCACACATGTGTTAAACTTGATGATGATGAGAGTTCAGTTGTGTCTAAAGAGCACACTATGAGCATGACAGTAATTCAACCTGTGAGGAAGGGGAAAACCAGAACTGTAGGTAGGTGCTGTAGTCACTCAGGAACTTCTCCCAGTAGAAAAAGAAAAGCACCATGAAAAGAGAATTCACCAATAACTTATAGAAACGAGAATCCAACACATAGCTGCAGAACTGAGATCTGGGAGATTAAAAAACAAATTTAAGCAAAAAAAAACAAGCACTACTGTTTTTGCTTTTTTGTCTTCTGTAAAGAGCAAAGAAAGAAATGAGGAGGATTTCAGCAACCCCTATAAATATGGGAAGAGAAGCTCCTTAAAATAAAATCAATATAGAAGGGAGACTTAAGTTGCACCAGTATTTTTTTTCCAGCTTTATTAAGGTATAATTGACAATTAAAAATTGTATATATTTAAGGTGTACAACTTGATTTAACATATGCATACACTGTGAAATAGTCACCACAATCAAGCGAATTAACATATCCATCACCTCACATAGTTACCATCATCAGTATTCTGAAGTCCCCAAAACAAGAGGAATAAAACCAAACAATTTGCTCTAAGACAGTAAATAATTTAAGATCAACATCGGCTGAGACACATTATTCCGGAAAAAAGAATCCTAGAATAAAACATTTCTAGACTGCTAGTAGAATCTTGTAATGATTCTATCAAAAGTCCAAAACTAGTAATTTTGTTATAGGCATGAAAGGAGACCACCATATTAAATTGGTTAAAAAGACAATGAAATGTCTTCACAAATGTGGTGATTAAAGCAAATCCATTAAAGACATCAATAGGGGCGTCTGGGTGGCTCAGTTGGTTAAGCGACTGCCTTCGGCTCAGGTCATGATCCTGGAGTCCCGGGATCGAGTCCCGCATCCCGCATCGGGCTCCCTGCTCGGCAGGGAGCCTGCTTCTCCCTCTGACCCTCCCCCCTCTCGTGTGCTCTCTGTCTCTCTCATTCTCTCTGTCTCAAATAAATAAATAAAATCTTTAAAAAAAAAAAAAGACATCAATAGAAGGGGAAAAAGGTGAAAGAGAACAGAGGCCAGGGGAATATGGAAATCAACTACGACAAGCAGCTTTTTATCTAGGGATCTCAAAAAGGGGTGCAGTATTTGTTAATGTGATTCAGATATAATAATTAGTTGCAATATTTTAATAGAGCAGGACCTGGGGCGCCTGGGTGGCAGAGTCAGTTAAGCATCTGACTCTTGGTTTCAGATCAGGTCATGATCTCAGGGTCGTGAGATTGAGCCGAGAGCCTCATGTGGGGCTCCGCACTCAGTGTGGAGACTGCTAAGAGTCTCCTCTCCCTCCTCACCGCCCCCTAAAATAAATTAAAAAATCTTAAAAAAAAAATTTTTTTTTTTTAAAAATAGTGCAGGACCAGGAAAAAATATACAATTTGTATTGTGACTAAAAAAAGCACACAAGGTATATAGCTATATACCATATTTAGAAAGAAATAACTTTTATAAGTAGCATGTGGAATTACTCTGATTATCGTCACCCATTTATGCTGGATACTCAAGCAACTTCACCTTGATTAAACCTGGAAAAAACAGCAAAGTCATCAAGAGCTCAGAGGTGAAAGGTGCCACATCATCCAAACTGAATTCTATTCAAGATACACAAAGAAAGACTAAGTTGTTACAAAGATAAAAGAGGGCTACAGTAAATTGTGGGAGAGTTGAAATTTCTGCTGATAGTAATCTAAAAATGGAAAAAGAAATAAAGAACAAGAAAAGTAGGATATCAGAAAGTTGTTAAAGTGGTAAAGGCATTTTGGGTTCCTGATAAAAATAATGTAAAAGGAAAATTATCATTAAGCTCAAGTATGGTTTCTTAAAGGAGAAAGCAAAATGCATATACGAATCTGGTGAATCAAATACACCGTTTTGGTGTGGGAAAATGGAATTTGAGTATGAAAAAAAAAATATTTTCATTTTAAAGTGTGAATATATATTTTTAAAGATCTCAGGAACTGCACTGTCCAGCATAGTAACTACTAAATTTACATTAAAAATTAAATAAAATGAAAAATTCACTTCCTTAGTCACACTAGCCACATTTTAAGTGCTCAATAACTACACATGACTAGTGACTGGCTACCATCTTGGAAAACACTGATCTTAGAACATTACCCTCATCACAAAAGGATTTATTGGACAGCACTGATCTAGAGACAAGAGGTTCTATATGACTTTTTAAACTGAAAAATTATGATCCTATTTCTGTGAAAGGACCAGCTTGAAAGCAAGACAATAACTTCTCATCATTATCCCATACCCCTTATAATATATTGACAGGAATTATTTTCAAACCACTGTAAAGAAAACCACATTTTACATTCAAAAACCAGGTCACGTCATTTGGCTTACCTTCACAGAATTTTTTGATTTACATTCTACAAAAGAAAACAATAATTACTTAACTATCAAACAAAAACATACTAAGGCAGTCACAAAGGAAAATTTTAATTAGCATTGTTTTAAGAAGATACTATAAATATTAACCCCCAATGCATTAACTTTAGGCCCTGTTTGAGTGTTCTAACTTTTACAGTGTAGTGCAAGTATTTCTATTTCATTTGTTTATTTTCCAAGATAAAACTATAAACAGATCAGAGAAAAAGAAAATAATGTGAAAAAGAGGACTACCAAATATACGGAGTTTTAAAACTAATACTAAAAATGACTTTAGCAACTGTGGGCTTATTACTAATTTAACTTTCTAGAACAACACACTTTACATGCACAGAACATAATTACAAAGATTTTACCTAAATTATTCATTAGGCAACATATTAAACATGAAATATACTGAAGCATTAAATTTTATGAATAAATACTGACAGTGGTAAGCAGTGATGTAATCTGACTTTACTTGGCTAAAAATAAATCTGAGAAAGTTAGCCAAAAAACCGCTTTTTGTAAAATATCATTTAAATATTACTCTATTACAAGCAAAAAGTATATTGAACTCGTATAAATTTTATGTAGGAATTTAAAAGTTAATATTTTAGATTTCTGGTAACACAGCATACCATATGGAGACAATATTAACTTGGTTTTTCCATCCAACAATTCAGTTTCAAGCTTTAAACCATCTCTGCAAAATAAAAGAAAGTTGTCATTTTTAAGAAGCAACATTTTAAATAGAAATGAAACGCTCATTTGAATCTTGAAAGTAAATATGTTCTTTTGAATTTATACAGGAATCTTGTAAATAGTAAGCCATTCTTTTAATAAAAAACGTTTTCCAATCCGAGATAAAACTAAACAATAGAGGGAGAAAATTCCTGAAACTTTCCAATAATGCAAAGAATTTGTTATCTTTAACAGGACACTTCATTTTCTTACTGATAAGCAATAAATCCAATCATCACAGCATTATTTAACTCTTACAACTCTAGACTGGAAAAAAAAGTGCTGTTACCAAAACTCCCCACCTAAGTTAAAGGAGCAAAACGTATTTAACTATTTACTAGTCTCTCATAATTATCTCATGACTAACACATTCTATGCATGCTACAGCGTTAATTTGAAAGTGAACTATTACATTGCCACCAGGATCGATGACTTTTTGAGCACAGCGACAGTTTGTTACTATCACAACAATAAATCTGTAATAAACTTTGGCTGCTCTAATTTATTTGTGCATGTCCAATGCAAGGGCACAAAGTAACAGGAGACACTGCCAAGGAAACTTGAACGTAAGATCCTAATAAAAACTCCACTGAAAACAAAAACAGTCCACATTTAATCACTGTTTCCTAAGAGAGGGGGGAAAAGGTGTGTGTCACTAAACATCAGTAGGGACGTAAGTGATGTCCAAGAGACAAAATTAAATCCAGCGGGCCAGACAAGGAAGAGACAGGTTGGGAAAGGTCTGATTAGGGAACAACGAAATTTGCAGTGTTGCTCAGTAGAGGCCATCAAAATACCCCAACTTAAATTTATCCAGGTAAAGCACTGGAAAAAATGGGTTTTAAAGGTTCCCCTGGGGCAGGGTTAGAACAGTTCACGTTTAGGTCGGTGAAACTGAACAAACAAAAGAATGAACCCGAAAAGTACGTCTGTTCAGCATTATTGCACCGTAAACTTCTTCCGGGGCAGATGTCTTAGTTTTCTCTCTCCACATTCTAGGACACAAAATTAATTTGCTAAATGATGTGCGACAGTCTGAATTTGGTGACTTTTCTTAAGATTTTTTTTTAAATTTATTTATTTGAGAGAGACAATGAGATAGAGAGAGAGAGCATGAGAGGGGGGAGAGTCAGAGGGAGAAGCAGACCCCCCACTGAGCAGGGAGCCCGATGCGGGACTCGATCCCGGGACTCCAGGATCATGACCTGAGCCGAAGGCAGTCGCTTAACCGACTGAGCCACCCAGGCGCCCTGGTGACTTTTCTTAAAATATCAAACCTCCCAGTGCTGAAAACCCTGCAACAGTCCTTTTTATTCAACCACTACTTAACGAGGGTCTGTTAAGGACCAAGCACTGGCAGTGCATCGATTCCTCAACACCCGGTTCCTAGCATTTCGAGCGTTAAACTCATCTGGGCGTTCACACGACGCCTACAAAGACGCCAAAGCCAGAGGCGCTAAGGACGGGGGCCTGGGCCAGGATTTCTCCCGGGAAGCCGCTAAGCTTTATCTCTCCATCTGCCCTCCCCGCTTAGCGCCTCTTCTCCCTTTCCACCCTGAGGTCAATGAGAGGGCGGAAAGGAGGTCCCGAGCAGATTTACCCCGTTAGGATGTGGAAAAGCGACAGCGGCTGCAGCAAAGGCCGTCCCGGGCCCCCCGCCCCCCTCCGCCTCACGGAGCCGGGCGCAAGCTGGGAAGGTGTTCCACGAAGGGCTCCAGGGGCCAACCCAGCTCTACCCCGTCTTCGCTAAAGACCACCCTTCCCGGCCCAGCTTACCCCAGGTTCATGGCCTGACCTCTCGCTCTCGCCACAGGACGCGTAACCCCTGTGTACGCCGGTTGCCGCCGCCGCTCAACAAGCGTTGCGCCGATTGGACACAGTGATACCGGCGAGCCGGAGGACGGACCAATCAAAGTTGGGCGTGCTGGCGGGTGCGCTCAGCGGGGGCGAGGCTGCAGGGGCGACCGCCCCCGGCCGCCAGGCCTGAGGCTCTCCGCCGTGACACTTGGGTACTGGGGGCGCTGGTTCCTCGGAGTTGTCGCACCCCGAGTTCGCTCGGAGCTCTCAGAGAAGTGCCTCAGCTCAGGTGTAGGTAGCAAAAATATGGAGAAACAAAAAGCATAAACCTTTTAGGAAATGAACACCTTCCATATTTTATATTTGCAAGAGAGGTTATTTGGGTATAAAATAAGTTGGAGGGCAGGGCCGGGTACAGGATTTGTCTTGTTCCTGGCTTTGACCTCCGCATGAGGCCGGGTACATTATAACTTTTTAAATTGGAACAATCCACAAGTACTCAATAAATTCAGCTCTTTTGTGCCATACAGAGATCTAAGCACTTTGTCTATTATTGGAGCTTTACAACATTATCCCTGAGGCGCAGAGAGGTTAAGCAGCTCGTCCACGGACTATCAAACAATTGAACCCCAGAGCCGGTGTCCCGAGCTAGTGTTTTATGAGTCTAACTCCGGCTGGCTCGTTCTTAAAAATCTAAATTTAAACGTCATTTTCTCCAAGAAGCTCCCCTGGAATCCGCTAGTGGGTAAATCAGGAACCCCCTTTCTGCGCCCTCCCCCCATCCCTGCCCTTCTGATCCCCGTACTAATGCATTTGAGATCCCGTGTCAGAGTGAGCTCCGGAGGGGCAGGCAGTTGGTGTCTTACATACCTCCGTAGCTGCAGCATGTGACACTGAACAGCGTAGACAGTAAATAATTGTGAAATGAAAGAACAGCAAAATTAAAAATGCCAACAACTTTATTAAATTTGACGGAATGCTATTTCATGATGAGGATTATAATGCAATTACTAAAAGTTCACAGTTTTTTTCATCTGTCTGCTCATAAGATTTTTACAAACTATAGTTGTAATGAATGAGGCACGTTGAATTCTCAGGGTACATTCTGTGAAAACTCAGAGATCTTTTAATATTCCTTTACGTACCTGGTCTGTGGAAGATATACTTAAATAAACATTTGTTAATTAACTTGACTGAATAAATGAACATGTACCAATGTACATTTGATCCCTTGCTTTTGTGTGTGTGTATTTTTTACGGAATACTTACCTGTGTGTAGGGAAAAAAAAGGCAAAAAGATTTAAACCAACATGTTAACAGGAGTATTTCTGGGAGATACAGTGGTGTGACTTTCAAAATGTTACTTTGTTTCTAAGTTTTATTATTATGAAAACATTTAAATAAAAAATGACAGAAGGGTACAATAAACACCTATATATCCTCTACCTAGATTTGATGATTGTTAAAATTTTGCCACATATGCTTTCTCTCTCTTGCTCTCTCTCTACACACATGGGGGCAGGCACACCCATACACTGCCCCCTACTACACACCTTTTTTTGCATCACTCTTTGCAAGTTACAGATGTTATAACACTTTGCCCTTAAACACTAAAGCATATATCTCCTAGGAATAGAAAGTTCTCTTATATAACCATGGCACCATTATTGTACCTAAGAAAATTAGCAATTTCATGATAACATCTAATAATGTTCTGCCTGTATTTTTTTCTTTTCTTTTTTTTTTTTTTTTAGATTTTTTTTTTATTTATTTATTTGACAGAGACAGAGATAGCGAGAGCAGGAACACAAGCAGCGGGAGGGGGAGAGGGAGAAGCAGGCTTCCCCCCGAGGAGGGAGCCCGATGTGGGACTCGATCCCAGGACCCTGGGATCATGACCTGAGCCGAAGGCAGACGCTTAATGACTGAGCCACCCAGGCGCCCCTGCCTGTATTTTAATAGTCCTCACTTACCCTAAGAATATCTTTGATCGATTTTTATTTAGAAAGCTAGAGTCAACCAAGGAGTACACATTACATTTGGTTGTTAAATATCATCTCTCTGTCTCTCCCCCACCCAGAATAACAACATAGTATATTTATTAGTAAATTCTTAGCAAATCTCTACATCTTTTATTTTTTATTGTGGAAATATAATAAAATTTACCATTTTAACCATCTTCAAGTGTACAATTCGGTGGCACAATGTTGTACAACTATCACCAATATGTATTTCCAAAACTTTTTTATCACCCAAATAGAAACTCTATACTCATTAAGCAATAACTCCCCATTTGTCCCTCCCTGCAACCCCCTGGTAACCTCTAATCTCATTTCTGTCTCTATGAATTTGCCTATTCTAGATACTTTGTATAAATGGGTTCATACTGATATAGGCTGGCCAGGTCCAAGGACCCAGATGGGGTCCCACAGAACCAGCCAAGAGGGTCCTTGGCTTTGCAAAGGATGGAAATCAAATGTGAGCCAAGAGGAAGTGAGAGCAGTTTATTGAATAGTAAAGGAAAGGAGAGTATCATCTTCACTTCTGGTCTGATGTATGTGTCTTCTCAAGGCATCCAGGAACTGGTCAAAACAAGGACAAGTGCTCAGGTGTCCTCCATAAGTCACTTAGGCCCTAGAGCCAGGGGTCTTGGCATCAAGGTGTCTGGAGTCAGTGGTCTTGGAAAACATACATAACAACCTAACCTTGCTGCGTCACTCCTTAGATGTTATCTATTGTGCTAGAAGACTCCAAAGAAATCATTAACTCCTTGACCTTTACAGGGAGGACATACATTAAGGCATGTGTAAGGTGGGGGTGCAGGTCCTAGCAAGAACAGAAGCAGCGAAAAAAGCAGTCCTTAATGGGATCCCTTTAACTTCCCTATCTCAATATAATATTTGTTCTTTTGTGTCTGGCTTCTTTCACTTAGCATAATGTTTTCAAGATTCACCCATGTTGTAGTATGCATAGGTCCTTCATTCCCTTTTATGGCCAAATAACATTCCATTGTATGTACATGCCACAGTTTGTTTACCCATCCTTCTGTTGATGGACACTTGGGTTGTTTCCAAGTTTGGGCTATTGTGAATAATGAACATTGGTTACAGGTATCTGTTTGAATCCCTATGTTTAGTCAGTATGTGTGTATGTGTGTGTATGTGTGCACACAGAGAGAAGAAAGAGAATTATAAGGAAGTGGCCCACTCAATTATGGAAGCTGAGAAGTTCCATGATCTGCAAGCTGGAGACCTGGGGAAGCCACTGATATAGTTCCAGTCTGAGTCCAAAGGCCTGAGAACTAGGAGAGGCCATGGTGTAAATCCAAGTCAGAGGGCAGAAGACTGATGTCTCAAGGAGTGGAGCACAGATCCAATTCTCCATTGCTTTCCCTTTTTGTTCGGTTGATGCCCAGCCACAATAGGGAGGCCCATGTGCTCTATTCAGTCTACCAATGCAAATTCTAATCTCATCCAGACCACACCCTGGCAAATACACCCAGAAATAATGTTTAAGCAAACATCTGGGCACCCTGTGGCCCTGTCAAGTTGACACAGAAAATTCACCATCACACTCTGTTTTCAGTTCTTTTGAGTTTCTACCAAGATATGGAATTACTTGGTCATATGGTATTTCTATCTTTAGCTTTTTGAGACATTGGCAAACTTTTCCACAGCAGTTGCCTCATTTTACATTTTTACCAGCAATGTATTCCAATTTCTCCACATCTTCGCCAACACTTATTTTCCATTGTTGTTTGTTTTTAATTATAGCCACCCTAGTAGATTCCCTGGTGCTCACAGTTTCTGCTGGTTTTGCTTGTTTGTTTGTTTCTTGAGAGGTACTTAGCGATTGGAGCTGCCAGCTCCATCATTTTGCTGATGTCATTGCTCTCTACTCCCTTTTGTTGTAGACCAGTCGCCCCACCTGTAGAATGGCTCACAATCAGGATTTGTCTGATTCTTTCCTCGGGGTGCTGTTTAACTCTTTCCTCTATCCTCTATCTTTCTTGTAATAGGCAAGTTAGACATTTTTGATAGGAATACTTTAAGGTGATAATCTGGGGTTCATAGTGCAACACATTAGATTGTCCTGTTACTGTGGCCATGTTTGAAGACTTTAGGTGGTGGCTGCCCCATCTTGCAATTGAAAATGTCCATTTTCCCTTTTGAAATTAGTAAATAATCTGGGTGGCTGATAATTTGGTACTGTGTGGATATCTTGTTCCCTAACACCCCTTCACCTAACAGTGAGAGGTGATCTTTATTGTACATGTTCTGTATTTTTCAACAAGTCATATTTTGCATGGTTTTATACCCTCTTGCATACCACTCTTCTGCACAACCGAGATGGGCTATAACTTGCCCATGATCTTAACTACTGTACTGTGCTTCTCTCTTTTATAGAACTAGTCTCCTTCAATTCTAGTTTTCTAGTTAAACAATTAAGAAATGTTTCCTTAAAGATGACATCAGGTTTTGAAAATGTAGTTTTCTTAAAGATGACAGTAGGTTTTACCAAAGAAAGGAATGCTTATAAGTCATTTGCTTGTCTGGTTCTCCTGAATTTAACTTTCAATTAAGCCAAATTTAAGGGCACTGCAGAGACCCTCCTAACATAATAAAAGGTATACATCTTGCTTATCCAAAAGTAAACAAATATAGTTATGATTATTTGAACTGTTTATATCTGTAGAAAAGCATCAGAAAAAATCTCCATGCTCTTACTTTGCTCAGTCATATAAATCCCAAATGTGTAAATTATTTCCATTTCTTTATATACTGTATTTTATTTCTTCTTTTTTTAAGGATTTATTTACTTATTTGAGAGGGGGGAGAAGGGCAGAGGGAGAGGGAAAGAGAGAATCTCAAGCAGACTCCCCACTGAGCACAGACCCTGACATGGGGCTCAATTTCACAACCCATGAAATCACGACCTGAACCGAAATCTACAGTCAGATGCTTGACCAACTGTGCCACCCAGGTGCCCCTATATTTTATTTCTGTATCAGTAAACACTCTTTGTCATGGAAACTGCT